TACCTTGCTGGCTGCAGGTGACTGCACAGGAGTGTCCTCTCTGTCTGCCAGGTTTCGACAGCAGGCAGGAGCAGCTGAGGGTTCGAGGAGGCCCATTTCCTCCGCAGGTCAGGCAGATGAATTCGGCAGCCGGAGGCACCTGCCGGCAGGTGTGCACACCTGGCTCCCCTTCGCATCTGAGCCCTGCCAGTGCCCTACACTTAAGCAAGGATCCACTCCCTCCTGTGACGCCGGGGTCCGAGCGTGCTCTCTCCCAGGGTTCTGGAGTCCCTGGGGACCCATTGAAGGGAGAGGCAGTTGATTGTGACGGGGCGTGAGCAGCTGGGTACCAAAACCAACAGGCTGCAAAGTAAGTCCAGATGGGGTCTGGGTGGACTTTGGGGCTGTTTCCCCTGCATTGTTAATTTGACCTTCTGGTGGTTGACGCTTTGGCTACTGATGTGCCATCCCTTTCTCAAACACTCATTTTCAGCAATCCGGACAGCAAGCCCCAAGTCCCAGCCCCCCTGATCCCGGTGAATACGTTGCAAAAGCTCTGCCCTGTTTCTATGCAGCTTAGGAAAGAGAACAGATTACACACAAAAGTTTTCAGCTTCCCAACGCCCCTTGAGATTGGCCTCTTGAAAACTGTCTATGGACCCCAATTTATCTCTACGGAGGGAGTAGCCTGGTGTGTGTGTGTTGGGGCAGGGTGGGAGACGCAGGTGGGGCCGTGGCCACCAGGGGGCGCGGGCACCGTTCAGTGAAAATTGCAAAGCACCTTGTGGAGACGAGACACGCCCGTCTGCAGGTGTCGGGGTGGCTCAGAGCTGCTCCTTCTAGACTGGGGGATGGAGGGGCAGAAGAGATGGAGAGAGATTCCTGGTGCTCACGGAGAAAAGGGGGACCTGATCATAAGTTCCTCACCGGGCAGGTAGGTCATGGGGGGTGGTCACGTCCAGGCCCGTAACTTTCGTGAAAGGCTTGTCTTTGCCATGAGCCAGCCCGTCAGCTTTCCGTGCAGCTCTGTGGACACAGCTTCGGAATAGCTGTAGCCGCCCACCCTCGAGAGGACGCGCGATCTTGTTAACCGTCCTGTAACCCTTCCGTCCCGCCTGGCTCTCCCCCACCTGCTCGTCACTGTCCTTTCTCGACAACGTGGGAGATGTTGCTGCCCGTCAACTGTTGTCACTTTGGCTCAGATAAACTCTCGTAAAAACGCACTACGGGTTTGGACGTTTCCCACGCGGACACCGGGCAGGAGGGCTGCCCTCCTCGGGTACGGCCAGGCCGACTGCACAGAAAACACTGGCCAAAACCCCAGCCAGGGGACAACGTCTGAGGGCAGTGGGGACGTTTCAGAATGAAGTTCAGGCCTCGCTCTGACGTGAGAAGTGCTTTGCAGGCCGGCGCCGCTGCGGCGGGGCTGGGGTGGAGCCTGAGTCCTCAACCACAACCACTAGAAGGCGGGAGGGCGCCCCGTCTGTGTCTAAGGGGAGCGTCTTTGCCCCGCTTCCCAGGGAAGGGACCGCTGACGACAGGCGTTCGGGCTGCCACACCGAGGTGGAGCCTGGCCTGAGGTCCCTGGGCCAGGGGGAAGGGCGCCTCCAGCCCGGGGCTTTCACTGCGGTCCAGGCCTGGAGTCCCTGTCCTCAGGGCCAGCCGCAGGGGGAGGACAGCGGGTGTGAGCTGCGGGATCTGACGCTGGGTGTTGACAGTCCACCTGGTAAGTGCTGCTTTTAACCTGAGCCGATTGTGGCGACATTTCCCCGCTGACTCGGGGAGCCTTTTCAGTGACCGGCTCGTGTCCCGTGTCCCGTCTGATTTGCAAACCCACTTTCTCCGCCCGGACTGACCTGTCACACTTCTCCCTGCCTGGGAGGCAAAGCGGCTCCACAGACGAGTGCTGTCTGAGGAGCGGAAACCTACAGCAACGAAACACTTGCTGTCATTTTCACTCTGTGACACGCCTGGACGCCCAGCCTCAGGACGGCGTGGTGGTTTGGGTCAGAGGTCAACGCACTTGAAAGAGAAAGGGAGGGGGCTGGGCACAGCCTTGGGGCCCGCAGACGTCCAGAGGGAACGCAGAGGATGCAGAGCGGGACCTCGCAGAGGCCCGAGGCTCCCGGGCCCGAGGCTCCCGGCGGGGAAGGTGGTTGTGGGAAACAGACTGCACGTTTGGGTCTCCGGTTCTGGAGGCCAGAGTGTGAGGTCCAGGGGTGCAGGGCCGCGCTCCCTCTGAAGGCCGAGGGGACCGGCGGTGTGTCCTGGGCGTCCGGTGTGCCCTCTTCACCTTGCCAGTCCGCGTCCACCGTCCCCTCTGACAAGGACGCCAGCCTCCGGAATCGTGGCCACACTCCATGAGGAATCTCTCGTCTTAGCTTGGTTAAACCTGCAAAGACTCGAGTTCTAGGTGAGGTTCCTTCGGAGGTGTTGGGGTGAAGGCATCCACGTGCCTTCTGGGGGCGCACAATTTAGCCCATGACACTGAGGGTGCAGACAGTGATCCCCGAGGAACGGCTCCCCATGGGAGGAGCCTCGGGGCCAAAATCGAGAGGTAGCACCCCTTAGAGAAAAGGAGATTTCCCTGCTCTTCCTCCTTCCTGTTTGCGGTCGGCCAGGTCCTCAGGGCTAGTCACGTGGTGCCCGTCACTGAGGACCAGGTGCCAAGTTCAGGCGCTAGGTTTCAAATGACCCGGCTACTTCACGTTGAAAATTGGTTTCATGATGCTTGGTACCTGCATGTTTGACTTCCTCCTCCCTCCCTCCCTCCCTCCCTCTCTTTTTTCCTTCCTTCCTTTATACCTGTTATGGAGAAGGCTTGGGGCTACTAAGATAAAACAGAAATGCTGTGCCCGCTCCCCGCTCCCCGCTTCCCCCTCCCCCGCTGGGACCTGGCAGCCTGGGAATCTGCTCGGTTCCCCGTGACGTGGGGTGTTTCGGGCATGCACGGCGTGTTCAGCAACACGCTTCCTAATGTTCTCAGGCGACCGACCGCGAACGCCCGCACGGGATCTCGGGAACTGCGACGATTTTGTGGCTGAGGAGCTCCCGGCAGGGCTTCTCCGCGAGCCCGTTTCTCAAAGGACGCGAAGCCGGTTTCTCCTCCTGGACGGTGTGCATCAGCGCGGGCTCCCCTCCTTCGGATCCACGAAACGCTGACATGATCTTTTAAATGACTTGTCGGCACGCTGACCTTTTTCCAGAGGCTTCCGCAGCTGGCCGGACGTTTGCGGGAGATGTGCACAGTAACACGTGATGGTGCGGGAGCTGGTGGGTCTGTGGGTCTGGCAGCCCCCCGGCCCGGCGCGGGCTGGCGGGAACCGGGCGCGGCGCCATCGTCCGTGGCCCGTGCCGGCGCCAGGGGACCCTGCCCGGCCGCCGTCCTCTCCCCCACTTGGAGTCTTCCTCGGGGCTGACCTGGTCATACTCGCCTGGCCCTAGTTGGGTCTTTGTAACAACTCATGTGAATGGCACGAACTTAGGGGACAGCTGGCATGGGTCAGGCGGCGCCCGGGCAGGTCTGAAGGCCTTTAGGCACCGTGAGCAGCAGCGCCAAGGGTCGCGGCTGTGGCCCATCCGCCACGTGGCCAGGAAGCCCCATCTGCCTGGGTGGGGGCCGGCGCGGGGCCCCGATGACATCGCTGAGTTAGCAGCCAGGGCGCCCCAGGGCTGACTGCTGTGGCCCAGCCGGCCTTGGCCAGCACAGGCCGGCACCAGGACGGTGGGGCAGAAGGGGTAGGCGCGGGCCCCCCAATGTCTGGGAACCCTCCCAAGTGCTGACCAGCTCGCTCGCGCGGGCAACGCCGTCACCCAGGACAGCACCGGTGACTCGATCGTATCTGCTTCGGGCCTCTGGGCCAGGCTTCCTCGGGGAGAGGGGCAGGCGATGCTGGGACAGCTAAACGAACGCCAGGCCCACGTCCACCGCATGACCGGGCCTTCTCGTGTGAGGAGTGACGAGGGAGGGACTCGCGTGAATCACTTGCCCTGCCTTTAATGCAACGGGATAATTCGATTACTGGCTCATGGACCAGAAGAATTCCAGAACGATCCGCCCCCAGCCTTATTCTGACACGGGTCAGGCTGGTCCCGTGGCCGTCAGCGTGTTAGACGGCCGGGCGGCCACCGTCTGGCAGACCCTGCGCGTCTGTGCGATGAGAGAGGCATCCGTGCCGTCTGCTGCCCTGGTTTCCCCTGCAGGACGCTTCCGGTGAGCGTGGGGTCACCTCTTGGCGGGGGCTGTGTCATGAAGGGCATGGGGCCGAGGAGAAGGTGAGGGCTTTTGCAACGATCGCTGGAACGTTGTATCGCGACTTCGAAAGCGTTTCACAAACACCGTGCTGAGCGCTGCCCACGTGTTGGGGCGGCTCGTGGCCTCCGAGGGCGGCAGGGCTGCTGTGTGTGCAGCCTGAGCCTGGGAGGGGGCCGCCCCTGGCCGCCCGCGTCCCCGGCACCACCCCCCCAGGGGAGGCCCGGAGCCTGCGGCAGGGCCCTGGGTCCCCAGGCTGGTCTGGGCCAGGTCGCGTGACGAAACCCCTACTCCTCAGGGCAACAGTGTGCCAAGTCGCACCCCTTCTCCCCTTCGCCCCAGCTCAGCACTGGGCCCCCTGGGATGGGAGCCTCTGAGGCCGGTTCTGACTCACCGTATCCTCGAGCCGGCACCCAGCGCCAGGCCAGGCCTCTGGCAGAGTGGACACACAGACCTGTGCAGTGACCAGACACAAGAGGCGACCAGCCGCACGGCGGACACCTGGCAGCACCCACCCCTTCTGCTGGGAGCCCAGGGGGCCAGGGAGACGGGGCCCGGCCCAACAGGACAGCAGCCACGGGAGGGGCCGGTGGGAGGTGACATGCGGACGCAGCCTGCGGACACGGCCTGCGGACACGGCACTCTCCGAGAGGCCCATGGGGACAGAGACTCACATCTTAAGGGCTGCAATTTCCATTCCAAATCCTAACGTCCCCCACAAACACCCACTCCCACCCGCCCTTTAAAGAAAAAGCCACGAATACAACGGTTGGTTTGGAACCTTTAATAGAAATTAAAAAAATGAATTCAAAAGAACACAACGCGGCAAACGCAGGGTGCAGGTAAACCCCACTGGCTGCTCTGGAGAGCACAGATCCGTTTATGCTACTTGACACTTCTACAAACTCAGGCCACTTTGGTTCATGTATCTGCTGTAAAGTATTGGCAAAATGTCTTCAGATTCACATTTTTTGGCTCTATTATTTCTAACAGATACAGATTTATTCCAGTTTAAGAAAAAAAAAAATACTCACTGTTTGTGCATGATCAAGTACACCTTAAAGATTCCATGACTGCTTTAGGCTAATGACTTGGGGTTTTTCATGAAATGTTGACATCGTCACTGAAAAATCTTTTCAGAGCTAATCATGTTTTCCTTTTCAGAGAGGGTGCGAGGGATCATCGCAAAGTTCAGGAGGGTCCCATCTTCCTTTAAACAAAATTCCTCTAAAACGAATTAGCTGTAGTAACTTAAAATGAGATTTCCCTCAAAACAACAGAACCACTGCGGCGAGGGGCGTCACGTGGGGAGCCGGGTGTGTTGGTCATGGCGGCCGCCAGGCCCGTCCACGTCCGGGTCTGCTGGCCGCCGACTCCCCTCCAGAGGAGTCTTTTATCAAGCCACTTTCGCAGAATTTAAAACAAAGCCAAAACATTTCAATTTCAAAATACAAAATACAAAAAAAAAAAAAAAAAAGATGACTTTGCAAGCAAAAATGATAAGTTTACGAAAACCCACAAAAGTGGAGTATTTCTAAGGACTAGGGCTCAGTGGAGGGCACAACAGCGAAGTGACTTCACAGCCGAGGCATCTTTGCCGCGTGCGCCTCCATGCAGCACTGAAATGGAGAACCCTCTTCAACATCTCATGTTAAAAAAAATAAATATTTAAGAGAATACAAGGCTCAGATTGGTTTTCATGTACATTGCACTTGAAGTTAACGACCCAATACTTGCAAGTTGGGTCTGACGTGGTCTATGCCGGTCAACGAATGCATTGTGCTCACCAGTATCTCTGCATCTCTAGAAACGCCGAACGTTTCATGCAGTGACTTAAGCGCTCCTTTTTTTTTTTTTTTACAAGGCAATCACAGATTGCAAATTCCATAGGGCCGTGGAAGGGGGAATAATCATCTTTATCCTGGACCACCGAAGAAGCCACTTCCGGCTCACGGAGACTGAAATACGTGGTGCTAGACGCTGTGGGTTGGGGGGGAACGTCATCGACGCCGAGGTGCAGGGCCTGGCACGTCGCAGCGGGGGGCTGGCTCACCGCTCCCCAGCTCCCAGCACCCGTCGGCCGGCACGTGAGCGCGGGGCTCGGGCCCTGACCCGCGGAGTTCGTGCTGCCGTCTGCTGTCCTACACACCCCACCTCAAAACCTGCTGGACACATCTTCCCGCGTCAGCGCCCTGCACCCTCGCGAGCACCGGGCACCCGCACGAAACAGGGCTGGGGATTGGGGTTCGAGCAAGGCTCTGAAATGCAGCGGCCTGCCTTTTGCAAACGACGTCGAATCCTCAGAGTGGCCGCTGGCCCCGCCCGGGACCCAGGTCTGCAGGGCAGGCGCGGGACAGCGGAGAAGGTGACGTCCAGGTACGCGGTGACCCCTCCCCCTTGGCTATTCTAAAACAGGTGGATTTCCCCCAGGAGTCGGTTGCACAGTCAGCCCAATCTAAGCAGATCATTGAGGAAAAGGATAATCTCTGTCGCGAGTCGAAGTGTGGGTTTTCTTCCCGCATCTCGCTGGTCTTCGCACTCAGTGGGGTGAGGACTCAGTCGCTGTGTGGCTTTTCAGGGACACCCTGCGAGTAAAACGAGGAAAAGACCGAGAGAAAGTGAGCGCAGAACGCGGACATGCTTTAATTAGCAGTTAAGCAGACCCTGAAAGGCGAGAGATCAAAATTCCTTTGCCGGGTGAGATGACGCAGGAACGGAGGGTGGACGGAGGGTGGACGACGCCGGCCGATGGTGCCCCCGCCCCCGCCGCCCTCTCCACACGCTTCCCCAGTCACCCTCACAAAACCCCTGCGGCGAGGCCTGTGGCTGTTAGTGCTCCAGGCCCTGCAGGTGAAGTCTCAGTACAGGACGGACGCTTCGTTGATGAAGGAGCAGGTGCCACGACCGAACGACCTTCCTGCGGTGACAAGGCCACGAGCAGGCCTGTCCCTGAGGCCCCGCCCAGGCGCCAGGTGACGTGCTGGTGTTCAGAGCTCTTACCCGCACCTCGGGACCTTCTCCTTTGAGCGGCTAAAAAGCCTGGCAGGCGCGTGGTCGCCTGGGAGTTTTGGTGACTAACTCCTATGCTGGGGACACAGGGACTTTTAGGAACGCGCAGACTCAAAGCATGACAAACTGCCACGTACGAACAAGAGGACGGTCCTAAGCAAGCTCCCACCTGAGGGGACCGAGGGGTCCCGCCACACCCTGGGAACAAGACTGGCCCACAGGCCGCTGACACGCACTGGGACGGGAGCGCAGGCATCCACGGCCCGTGGGAGGCCACGTGTGGGTGGTCCTGGTGTCAGGGCACAAACGACAGACGTGAGATGGCCCGAGACAGAAGCAGCGCTCGGCACGGAGGCTGCCGGGGAGCAGCGTGCAGCACAGCCACGGAGGCCCCGTTCGGACGATGGACGCCAGCTGTGAGTGACGGTGACAGGCAGCAGGGCACCGTCACACGAGGCAGGTTCAACGGCCCTGCACCCACTTGGCCAAGGTGCTCACCCCCCACCCTTAAATGGGCTGAGAACAGCCCCTGCTCCCACCTGCAGCGTCACGAGGACTAACCCTGCTAACGGATATGTCCAGCTCAGTTCCGTGTGCACAACAGGGCTGCTGAGTGCCAGCCCTCAGTCACGGCACTGGGACTACAGTCACCAGGGCCAAGCGGGGTCAGTCACACAGGAAGAGCAAACACACGCTCGCTGCCAGGGACATGCTGTGACAGGCGTCCTGGGCCTTGGGAGTCAGGGCCTGCTCGCTGTCGTGACAGCTGGGAGCCTGACCTTTTTGGAGAAAAGATTTCATGCTACATGTACCAACAGATGTGAACTCTATGAACCTGGACTGCAGACTCGTGACCTCCCTACACTTGTCTAGACTCGTGACCTCCCTTTGAACATGCTGACAGCAAACACCAGACAAAGCTGCTCCAACCATCTGACCGTAAGCGAAGCCCACATGTGACCCCCGGGCACGGCTGCCGTGCGTGACGTTGTCATCGTAATGGTGGCGACGTGCCATGGAGCCTCCCGCATGGCTCTCCTTATGTCTGTTCACTTCAAGTCACAGAACCTGTGGGTGACACTAAGGGAGGGCCGCGTACGTTTCCTCTCAAGGGAGAGACGCGTGGGTCCAGCCAGACAGGGGACCAATGCGGAATGAGGGGCAGGGATGCAGACGGCATGGGAGGAAACGGCCCTTGTAACGACTGTGCATTTCATTCTCCAGCCCTGACACGATCTGGAGCGAACATCGCTGCCGACGTGTCGGGTCCCCGCCTCGTGAAGAGCGAGCTCGGCTTCGCGCACGCGTCCCCCTGCTGTGGCGGCAGCGTGGCTTTGAGACCCACGGGGGTGGCGAGACCTCGGCCACAAGCGCCCTCACTCCGGGCTGCAGCGGCCGGAGCACATGCCAGGAGGGGGCGGCCAGCTGCCTAGGGACAGGGCATGGCTCTCCCGAGCTCCCTACCACTTGGCAGACTCACAGACTTGCGGGGGACGGAAGGAAAGCCAAGGGCAGAGACCAGCTGGTGCTGAAGAGGTCCTGCTTCCGAGACGCCACCGCGAGGGACCGAGGCAGCCTCCCGAGAAGCCCGTCTGTCTGTGGCAGCGATGGGCCACCTAAGGCCCTGGTTTTTCTTTTTTAGCTCATTTTATCTAAGACTTTGAGTCAAAGTAAACTGGAAGTAACAGTTAAATGTCCATCCTTTTAGGGATCAACAAGAGCTGCTGCCATGGTCGCTGACGTCACCTGCCTGAGCGGCCCCCAGCAGGTGGCTGGCTGCCACGGGGGCAGCTTCTCCCTTCCAGGAGGGATGGGCAGGCACAGGTGGGTGGTCCACCCAGTGGGGCAGACGCGCCCACGACGGAGCCAGGTCTGCCTGCCTGTGGGCGGGGCTCCCCGAGCCGGGGCCCAACAGGCACCCACGGGGTCTCTGTGGCCTCTGACGTCCTTCCCCAGTGTCCCCTGCACTCCAGGTGAGGGAGGGAGGACACGGTAAACCACCGACTGCAGCCGCCTCCGGACGCACTTCCCTGCAGTGGCCGGCCGCGAGGAGCCGCAGGCCATGCCCGTGACAGTGGGGAGCTGCCCCTCACTCATCCTTTCTAGACTGAACTGGGGGCTCACAAATGCTAGCATCTTCGCGATTCGGCAAGGAACTACTTACTCTCACCCACTTTTTTTTAACATAGGCTTTCCTCAGTAATCGTCACCATTGAGTCTTGACCGGACATTTATCGACACAGATGACACACGACGCAAAGCAACTGCGTCGACTGGGAACCCACGGGGTCAGGAGAGGGACGGGTACGCACCATAGCCAGCTGCCGCCCTATGTTCCCCACCGTCACGCCTCCCGAGAAAAATATGCAGGGCAGCCAGGAGCGGATGTAGAGGAAGTCCGGGGACGTGTACCTGCGGAAAGAGAAGGCAGGGACGTGGCACCGAGCAAAGCTCCGGTGACTCTCTCTAACGGGGACGGGCGGGGCACGGCAATCAGGAAGCACCGCAGGACACAACGTCCCAACACTCCCCGCCTGCTCCGCGTTGGTTTCCCGTCGCATTAAACTGCGGGCGGCGGATTCTTAACACGAGAACCAGCGATGAGCCGCATTTTTGAGAGTTTCGTGCCTAGGCCTAGAGCGTGTGTGTACAGATAAAGCGCGAACATGTCAGCAAAGGGGCTGTTTCTAACACGAGCGAGGTAACCGCCCGTGGGGGGGGCTGACGTCGGGGGTCACGTGCTTACTGATAGACACCGTTGTACACCAGCAGCTGGGTGATCAGGGTGGCCAGGAAGGCGATGGTGATCCCAAGGCCAAGGCCGCTTCTCGAGCGGTCAAACGTCCACCAAAGGCCCAAAGACAGGGCCGCCAGTGTCAAGGAGAGCTGAACGTTATTGGCAAAATCCAATTTCTGGTGATGTAAAAGTTAAGGAAAATTTAACGATTTGCAGTCAGATCGGAAACACACACAATCCCGGGTCACACCTGTGTTCTTGCTCTCACAGGCCACACGGCCCCCACCTGTAAGCACGACCGGGCAGCTCGCGAAGGCCGTCAGACGCCAGGGCCCGGGCTCCAGACGGCGCGGACTTCTCAGGGGCCGGTGGGTCAAAACATTGCGAGTAAAGGTTCCGAAAGTCACCTCTAACAGTCTGCGGGTGTCTCAGCCTCCGACCCACCTGGGTGCTAGGGACCCGCGGCTACTCTGCGCTCATTCTCGTGTCCCCGGCGGCCGAGCTGCGGGAGCACGCCCCTCGCCCCCGCACACGGTGCCTCTGCAGACGCCACGCACCCCGTGTCTGCGGAGACGCACCTGGCTGTCATCACGACGCCGCTGTCGCCTGGTGACGAAACCAACTTCTCAGAGCCGGGACGTCTCGCACTACCTGTTCCGGACATTCTCATCGTTAAGACAGGAGAACGGCTGACTTAGGAACTGTAGGAATCCCAGACTGTCTTTCTCTAAGCCTTGAAACTATAAACTAGTCGTGCTAAAGAAACCCGAAATCTTCTGAGACCTGGGGCGCCACGGACCTCCTTCCGAAACACGCTTACGTGCAGACCGGCAACACGTTCCGTGCGACCCGCTCCACCGGGGACCCGGGCGTGCGGGGCCCGTGTTAAGGTCACCGCTGCTGGCCGGCATGGGACTTCTGTGGTCACACCAGGGAGGGGGCAGAGGAGCAGAGGAAGCGGCCAAGCGTGACCCTGTCGCCATGCGTCACGGAGCCGCAGGAAGCCGGTCTTCATGACGGCGGAAGCGCAGGACACTTACAGAAGGAACTCCGAGGAAGCAGACGGGGGTGACGGAGGAGGGTAACAGTCCTCCCGCTGTTTCCTGAAATGACCCGGAAGCATTTTGAAAACTCCTGCTAAGTGCAGACTAAGCGACAGGCTTTAAAATAAATCCCTCAGGAGAAGACTTCGACCGACCTAAGAGGTAACGTGCACTCCCTACGAGCCGCGAAATCACCTAGGAAAACGCTCGGACACGGCACGTCTGCTGAAGGATACAGCACTGGCGTGGTTGATGCCCACGAAGACCGCGACGCAGCGCATGACGCTGGCCCACTCCCTCTTAAACTTGTGGGGCTCCCCCAGGTGACTGTCGATGCAGGGGTACAGCAAGCCGACGACAGCTGTTAAAACAAGGAAAAATGACCGTCAGAGGGCACCGGCTTCAAGCCATACGATTCCATGAGGCAGTTAACATATCGCCAAACCAGTTTCCCTAGAAAATTGATCCGCTCTCATAACACTGAAACTGAGACTCTCTTCACAATTCCGTTCGCCTGGAGCACGAAGATCAGTTTTGAGAAGGTTCAAACGACTCGCTGCTTGGCATTAACGCAGAGACGTGGACCCCGCGGGCCTCACTGCTTGGCATTAACGCAGAGACGTGGACCCCACGGGCCCGGCCTGCACAACGGGCGCGCCCTCCACCACGTCCGCGTGGTCGCCGTGTTACAATGAGGGGCGAGCTTCACGAGGGCTCCCGAGGCCACGGGTCTCAAGTGGTGGCGCTCCTCATGGGGCCAGCCCTGAGGCTGGGCACATTTACTCTGGTCTGACTCTGACATCTGGGGCACAGAGGCCACGTGCCCAGAGGTGGCACCGGATTCGGCAGTGAGGGGGTGACAGTACTTACTCCGGGGACCCTGAGCACCGCTGCCCGTCATCTGCGGGTCAGTGCGGCGGCAGGCCAAGCACACTGCGCTGTCCCTGTGAGTCCAGGCCTGGCCTGTGGAGGACCATTTGAGTGGGCACAGGACACCCGGCGTCTGTTCCCAGTCCCCGTGGATGGGACCTGGCCTCGTGTTTGTTCCCTCATGTGTGAAATGATGATTATGTAACTAGGAGACGGAGGAGGGGCTCGGTGCGGTCTGGACAGCAAGGAGGTTCTCAGACACGGAGCTTTAGGGCATGAGCGCAGACAGACGTTAGACGGGGAGGCCGGGCATTCAGGGAGAGGAGCGGGCGGGAAGAGGCAGGCAGGACAGACAGCAGGGCGGTGACTGCTGGGGACACAGGCCACGGGGCCTGACTGCGGGATGCGGTCGCCCAGGTCCAGAGGCTGGGCAGCCAGGCGGTAGTTCCACCTGTGGGACAGGGAACGCCTTAGGTTCCCGAACAGAGGGACAGAATCACAGTTTTAGCCAAATATGCAAAGGAAAGAATTTCAGTTTCAATTTCACGATGTATTTTATAGAGTTCTAACTTTGGGGTTTTGAAAAATGGAAGCCCACGTTCTATGACTTCACTATAACTTAATTTTACCTTTTAAAGTTAAAAGCAAAGTATGAAAATGTACTAGGAAACGTTCCCCTTCACTCTTGGCTGACAGTGAAAACAAAAATAGGGAATGAGAAACTGTTTCAGATATGCCCGGAATTTCCGGAAGCTTCTATGACAAATAAAAAC